TCGGCTGTCCCAGGCACAGGGTGATGAGATGGTGTCGGGGAACTGCTTGGGAGAACCAGGCCTCCCACTCATATGAATGTTGGTTGAATGCTGATTCATTCGTCTGTTCATCTGCTGGGCACCTACTCTGTGCCAGGCACAAAGATAAAGACATGGCCCTGTGCTGAAAGAGCTCACTGTCTGGAGCGAGAGGCCAAAGGAGAGGCCCGTGGTGCGTGAGGCCCCAGTGAGAGAAGTGAGCACGGAGTTCAGGATGGAGTCCGGGGCCACAGGAACAGAAGAGAGAGGTCATTTCGGGGGGCGGAGGCAGAGGGCTAGTGAAGAGGTGATGTTGGAAAGTGTTGGGTTTTCACCTGGTAGGCAAGGCAGGGAGGTGCCCCTCGTCAGACACAGGGTGATGAGGTGGTGTCGGGTGCTGGCGAGGGCTTACGGCAGCACTGCCTGCCCACCATCACCTCAGACAAGGACAGTCAAGGCCTGATAGCGTCCCTGCTCCCCACAGAGCAGAGGGCACAGGGAGCCTGGGGGCCCCCTCCATCCCACTCTCCTCACCCAGCCCTTCTCCCAGGTCCACCACATCAATGCCAACTACTTCTTGGACATCACCTCCATGAAGCCCGAGGAAGTCGAGAGCCGTCTCTTCAGCTTCTCATCCACCTTTGAAGACCCATCCACGGCCACCTACATGCAGTTCCTGAAGGAGGGACTCCGGCGTGGCCTGCCCCTCCTCCAGCCCTAGAGTGCCTGCGGGGCCGGACGGGATCTGATGCACAGGCCCCCGCACCCCAGAGCCAGAGTGTTCCTCAGCCCGTTTCAGACTGCAGATGCCGCCCACTCCCACCCCACTCCTAGGCTGCCTTGGGGGGTACAAGCTCCACTGAGGGTGGCCATCACAGCCTTGGCTCCATGGTGGCGGGTAGACAAGGGGTGCCTGGGCTGGCTGGGCAGAGGAACCTCTAGCTCTGACTGTCACTCTCCGCTCTCCCTACCCATTTGGCTCTGGAAAGCTGCTTGGCACCCCCAGATCAGGGCCTGGGTGAACTCTCTGTACCTCTTCCAGTGAGCCACACAGTCTAGGCCCTTGTTGGGTGAAGAATGGAAGGAGGAGCAGGCTAGGAAGACAGGGCCACCACCCTCTCCTTGCTTTCAGCCCTTCCCACAGGAAACATCCAGAAGCCCCAGCCAGGAGGGGCCAGGCTTCCAAGGCGGCTCTCCTGTTTATCTAGAGCCTTCGTTTCTGGCCATACCCTGGGCTGCCCTCCTGTGCCTGATGTCCCCAGCTGGGGTCGGTCTCAGCAGGAGCCAGTCTTCTGGAGCCTCTGGGCAGAACCCTCCATTGAAGTGGAAATCAGACTGGACCCCCTGCGGCTTCCCTGACCACGCCACTGACCAGATGTCTGCGGAAGTTTACTGTGAAGGGGCTTCTGCCTTTAGCAATGGGGCGCACTAAGGGGGTTCCTGAGGCCTAGAGCCAAAGCACTCCCACCACCTACCTTAGCACAGGGTCTCCGCAGGACTGCGGGAGCCAGCGCTTCTGCCGCCCCTCCTGCCCCTCAGACTTCGCATCCACAGAAGCACAGCCCGGCCAAAGACCACAGCCTTCTCCAGAGCCAGCGCTGTCCGGCAACCAGGGGTGCCCCAGGCTAGCTCTTCTACCACTGGGGCACCACGGACTCCCCTTGGCCACTCTTGGGACTTTGGTCCACGTCCTGAGCCACTGACCACGGCCAGTCTTTCTTTTTATATGTGCAGAAAAGTGTTTTTATACAAACTTTCTCATGGTTTGTAGGTATTTTTTTATAACCCCAGTGCTGAGGAGAAAGGAGGGGCAGTGGCTTCCCCAGCAGCAGCCCCATGATGGCTGAATCCGAAATCCTCGATGGGTCCAGCTTGATGTCTTTGCAGCTGCACCTATGGGAAGAAATCGTCCTCTCTTCCTTCTCCTCTTCAGCTTTTTAAAAACAGTCCTCAGAGGATCCACCACCCCCCAGCACTGTCCCATCCTCTCCATGCAGGCCCACAGGTGCACCCGCACTCTTTCATTAAGGCCTTGAAGTCAGGCTGCCCCCTCCCCAGCCCCCAGTTCTCTCCCCACCCCCTCACCCCACCCGGGGCTCACTCTTAAACCTGGCAGCGGAGGAAGGAAGGCAGACATCTCTGCAGCCACTCCTGGGCCGTTCTATTCGTCGAGTTACCCCGCTTGCTTTGGGCGTATTCACTGAGCCTTCCCCAGCCAGTCTTGTTCTCAATTTTGTTTTGTATTGTTTTGAGATGGAGTCTTGCTCTGTCACTCAGGCTGGAGTGCTATGGCGCAATCTTGGCTCGCTGCAACCCCCCCAGCCCCGGTTCAAGCAATTCTGCCTCAGCCCCCCGAGTAGCTGGGATTACAGGGGCACGCCACCACACCCGGCTAATTTTTGTATTTTTAGTAGAGATGGGGTTTCACCATATTTGTCAGGCTGGTCTGGAACTCCTGAACTCAGCTGATCCACCCGCTTCAGCCTCCCAAATTGCTGTAATTACAGGCGTGAGCCACACGCCCAACCTTGTTCTTAATTTTGTGTTATCCAATCATTGCTAATGTTACATGCACTTTCTCACTTAATCCTCACGACAAGCTTGTGAGGCAGATGCTCATTGTTCCCATCTTGATGACTTGAGTCTCAGGGAGGTGAAGTGACTTTCCCAGGGTCAGTCAGCCAGGTAGAGTTCAGATTCAAACCCACATGTGGCTCCAAAGCCTGCGTCTGGATTTGGGGGTGTTTTTTGGCACAGCACCATCGCCTCTCTCCCTGCCTGTTTTCCCCAAAATGGAAAGGAAGGCCTTTTAAACCAGAGTGTCTCACTCCCCTCCGACCTCCAGGCCAGGCATGAGCCAGCCAGCTCAGCCAGGCTCCCTGTGTCCTGAGAGGAAGTGCCCCCATCCCCCATGCCCCTTACGGGGAGGGAGGGCACCTGATGTTCTCTGCGCCTCCCCCATCCTGTCAGGGACTAATGGGAGGGCAGGGGAGCCCACGCGAACCCTTCTCCCGCTGCTCTGGGAGAGTCAGTTCCGCATTGAGCCAGCCTGGTCCCATGGAAAATGCTGGTGGCCTGCGCTTTCTGAGGCCTCATCTGATGCCTCTGTAGTTCCTGTCCCCCACCAGGCCTTGAGGCTCAGGGTAGGAGAGAGGGCCCCTGGCTGCCCTCCTGTCATTCCTCTGCCACTTCCCTCCCCTGTCCTCAACCTGCCCTGTAATAAAATTAGAGAAGACTGACTAGAGTGATTCTAAGCGCTTTTCCTTTGAGTGGCATGTTCAGCTCTGTCCTTCCATGCGGCAGCTCCCTCCTGGGGTGGACTTGGCTGGAATGCTTTCAGGGACTATCTTACCTATCGAGGGCTTGAGTGACTTGCCCAAAATAAGTTTGTGATAGAACAAGTGGTAGGACTTACTGTTTTGAGAATCTGGTGCTCTCTGTTGAGAAAGATCTGGAAGTTGTCTTAGAAGCGGAACCTGAGACAGGCATGAAGTGATTTTTTTTTTTTTTTTTTTTGGTGGGGTGGGGAGTGTACTTCCAGAAAAACCTGTAAAAGAAGGAGGGAAGCAGAAGAGGAAAAGGAAAAATGCTGAGCAGGAACAGTCTCAGCCCAGCCTTGGCCTGACCCACAGTGGAAGAGCTGTGAGGCATAAACCACACTGCAGAGTTGAACTGGCCTTTTGGGCCTTGTATCAGTCATTGGCTTGGGAGGTGAAGGAAATTCCCAGGTAGGGGGCTCCATTCTTCCTGCAAGGGGATCTGAGTGGGACAGCAAATCAGCATCTACACCCAGGACAGACAGCCAGCGTGAACTTGCATGATCCGCCATCGCACAAGAGGAGAAAGTAATGATTAAAACACAATGTGCCATCCTGGAAAGAGGGCTGGACCTGGGAGTCAGTCTTCAGCATTTGAGATATGGTGGAGATAGGGTGGATGACCTCTGAGGTCTCTTGCCGGGACCAGTTACATAATTTTGCAGAGCCCAGTGCAAAATGAAAACACAAGACCCCCTGTTAGAAAATTAATCATTTCAAGACGGCAACAGCAGAGTACTAAACCAGGTACAGCAGAGTACTAAACCAGGTACAGCAGAGTACTAAACCAGGTACAGGGTTCTGAGCATGGGGCCCTTTGTGACTGCATGGGCTGGTCACCCAAGAAACCAACTCTGTCTCTGGCAGAGGGGATTGCAGGCTTTGGGACCAAGGAACTCCAGCCTGGGAGCCAGGCACAGCCTGAGGCTGTGCTGAAAGCAGAGGAGGAAATGTCACCCAGGAACTGCATGCCACAGACCAGGACAGTGAGGGCTGGAGCACAAAGAGGGAATGGGTTAGTGAGCCTGGAAGGAATGTGGCTCTTCCCACAGTGCCTCTGGGGTCTTGTGCATCAAGTACCCATCTAATGAGCAAACTCACTGAATATACCGTGTGTGTGTGAGAGAGAGAGGAGAGAGAGAGAGTGAGAGAGAGAGACAGAGACAGAGACAGAGAGACAGAGACTAAAATAGAAGAAAGCTGCAAAGTGCTGGAGGGCAGGAGTCAGAGGAGAAAGAGGCCCATTCTGCCCATTCTTGCTGGAAAGAGGCTTTGCAGAGGGGCTTGCCTGGGAACCATGAACTGCAAAGGGGGCCAGGGTGAGGATTCTGAAGTTTGCCCTAGGGGTAGGAGCATATTTTAGGGGATGAGCGACACATCCCTCGGCTTCCAGAAGTCGTATGGGGCTAAACGTGGAGAGTAACAAGCAGGGAGACGCGACGAATATCAGGCTCAGGGATCTCCAAACGCAGTCAACTCCTCCCGGGGACACAGACCCCGCGGGGACACAGTCTCGACAGAGGGGGAGTGTGCTCCGCGGGATCTGAGCGAGCCCCCGCCAGCGCCCCGCCCACTCGGGGGCCGCCCTCCTCTTGCCACCCGGCTGGACCCGCCTCCCGACGGTGCGCGGAGGTGCGGCTCGGTGCGCAGCTGCGGAGGATCGCTTCCGGGGGGCGGGTCAGCGGAAGTGAGGGCGGTAGCCCACGGTGGAAGGAGGGGCAGTGAGGTGAGAGAGTCCCGGAGCCCGAGACTGAGGTGAGAAAGGTTCTAGGGCGGCGTGGAGACGGGAGCGCGGCCTTCCAGCCCGTTAGTAGACTGGGTCTAGGTGCCAGGCGCTGTGCGGAGCTCGCGGCTCCTGTTCCCGCGCGAGTTCTCGCGGGAGCCGCTGGTGTCCGTTTCACTTGGCCCGGGGGAAACTGAGTCCCCGAAGGGTAGTTGCTCGTCGGAGTCCCCCAGCAAACAGTGACCAAGCCAGACCTGAGACTTCTAGTTTCGGCTTCGCTGCTTGACGGGCCGGGCTGTCCCGCCGCGCATTCTGAGACCTGGCCGTGGCTCGGAGGCTTCCGCGCACTCTGGTCCAGGCCTGTGGGTCCAAGGGCCGCTGGGCAGGCGGCGAGGACTTGGCCGACCTTGGTCCAGGTCGGGGCGGCTGCCGCGGGGGAGGGGCGGCGCGCCCTGACCGGTCCCCGCAGGGAGAGGGTCCACGCGGGTCTCCGGGCGCTGCTGCGAGCGGCAAAGTTTCACTGAGCGCGGCGGCCTCCGTGGGGTCCCCCGGGACCAGGGGTGCTGAGCGGGGCCCTGCGCTGGAGGAGCTTCCGGTCTCCTGAGGGGGACGCCTGTCAATAGACAGCAACGGCAGCCTCAGTGACAAGACCCACCGGTGCTGCCAGAGAACGGGGGAAGATCTTCTAGCCAGTGACACTTGGGGGCGGGGTGACAGCTGAGTTGGTGTTCTCCTTCATTCGGTTAGTTCAGCGCGTTGAAGCGCTCACTGTGTCCTAGGCAGACACCGTGCTGTGCGCGGGGATCACAGTTATCTAGTTCCTCTCGCGAGGACTCCGAGGGACAGGCAGGGTGCTGCGGAGCGCACAGGAAAGGACCTGACCCTGTCGCAGGGAAGGAAGGTGATGCTTGAGCTGAGTTCTGAGGAATGAAGAAGAATGAGCTCGGCGAAGGGAGTGCTGGTGTTTGATGCAGGGCTCAGGGGTGGGCCCAGTGTTGGGGGTTGAGGGCCAGTGTGACTGGAGGGCAAGGGGGAGAGCAGGAGGGCTGGCTGCGAAATGTGCAGGCCTTGGTACTCAGTGTGGTCTAGAGAGGGCAGAGAAAGATGGGTTTGGGACTGATTGTGGATTTTATCCTGTGTTGGCTTTAGTAAGCCAGTTTTAAACGGAAGAGCGATGTGATTAACAGTGTGTTTGGGAAGGATTCCTCTGGCTGTGTGTGAGGGTTAGGCCCAGCTGGGTCTTTGGAGGTAAGGTCGGAGAGAAAGTGGCAGTAAGCACTGTTAGTGCAATTCGTGGCCGACACGGACATTCAGCACAGAGCCTGGCACACAGAGGGACTCTGATAATAAAGGCTTGAACTGAGCGGAGAAGATGGAGCCCAGGCAGGAGGTGGCAGGACCTGGACCAGGCTTTGGGTGCTTTCCACTGGCATGACCATTGAGTGACCTTAGACAAGTGCCTTCCCCTCTCCAACTTCCTTTCCCCATGTGTATCGTAAAGTGAGTGACACCTCCTCTCCTATGGGTAGAAGAGGGGACCCTCCATGGGAGATCTCCAGAAAGAGCTGCTTTGTCAGTCTAGTCTGTCCCCCGTTCAGAGCCTGTCCAGGGCTCCCCAGTGACCTCTCACCCGGACCTCATGACTTGACCCCTACTTTAGTAGCTTTATCATGCTCTGCTCCTCTTTCCACATCCTTCACCCTGCTGTGCTGGACCTGTGCTCTTGCTGTTTTGCCTTCATTTCCTACTCCCTTGAAACTCACTACAGGGCACTAGGGCCAGAGCTCTGACCTCATCTGGCCACCTGCCTAGTGATATTCAGCCTTTGCTAGAAGTATGTATTCATGTCCTATCACTCTGCTGGACAGCGAGTTCCTCGAGAGCATGACTGTGTCTTACTCCCCCCATAGCCCCTACAGTGCCCAGCACAAGGCCTGGCACAAGTGGGTACTGTTGGTGTTTGATGAACAAGTGAATGAACGAGCACACTGCATCTGCTCACCATGCAAGAACTGCTATGAAGAGCAGTCAGATGTCACCTCACCCATCTGTGTCATGTTTTAATAGTTCATTAAGCACTCAACCCCATTTCACTCATTGACCCTTAAGGTAGCCTCCAGTGGCAGCTTTTCCTGTCCCCTTTTTCCAGATGGAAAAACCAATGTTCAGCAAAGTTAAATAACTTGCCTGTAGCTACACAGCCAGGAGGTGGCTGAGCCAGGATAAACTTTTTTGGCTCTTTTCCTCTATAGCTCGGGAGACTGAGATTGGCAAGAGCTGGTGTTTGTTCTCCTATTTTCTCTGATCTCTCCCCTTGCAAGGGCCCAGGAGTGCTTTTATATCTCATCTTCAAGAATGAATCCTGGGCTTGGATAGTACCTATAACTTGGCTCGATGAGCTTTCTAGCTACCAAAGGGTTCTATTTGCATCTTCAGAGAAGTCTTGGTGTTAGTCATGGCTCTGCAGGGCCTGGTTTTGTGGGGCTTGTGTGGTGACCATTGAATCCCCACTGTGGGGGGTTGTTTCACAAGAGGGAAATCTGGTGCTCCTCCAGATGGCCTGATATGAAGGAGTCACGCCTCCCACCTCCTGGAGCTGCCCTGTGGCTGCCTTGTCCTTCAAGTGCAGGAGCTGGTTCACGTGTCGGGAATGGAAGCCAGTGTGGTAAGGGGCATTCCTACGGCAGGGGTACGGTGGGGGAAGGTTGGGTGCTGGGCCTGCTGAGGTACAGTATAAGGTTCTGAGACTCTCCAATTGAGCACTCCTTTCTCCAGAGGCCTGGAATTGGAGCAAGGCCACCATTTCACTCCCTCCCCCTAAGAAGAACCAACTATGATCCTGGGGCACCTCAGAAGTCAATGTATGTCTGCCTTTCTGTGCAGAGGGCTGGAAGGAAAGCCTGGATAATCTCTACACTTAGCTACTTCCTCTTCCCTTCACTGACCCTCCCGACATTGACTGCCTTAGCAGCAGCAGGTGTTCCCTTGGGTGGCTGGCCAGGGTGTAGGCTGGCAACTGGGGAACCTGCCCTCACTATAATTGAGAGTTGACTTGCCCCTAGAGTGTGCCCTGTCCCTAGGTTTGTGGAATTCAGTCTCCCTGCTAGAGAGGAGAGGACAGGGACGGTAGTTGGATTCAGTCTCTGAGGTTGTGACTGTCTCTCTTTCTTTGCTCCAGACCATACCAATCTGGCAAAACAAGCCGCATGGGGCTGCTCGAAGTGTAGTAAGAAGAATTGGGACCAACCTACCCTTGAAGCCGTGTCCCCGGGCATCCTTCGAGGTGAGTATGTTGGAAGGGCAGGAGGGTAGAGGCTCAGAGTGCTGCTTCTGTGCCCCAAACCCCTTGGTACTGCCCAAGTAGGTTGTTTCCTGGTCACTTTTCATTCTGTTATGAAATATTTGTTAAATGCTTATAATAGATCCTGGTCACTGTGCCTTCCTGAGTGCATACAAACCTGTGACCACAAGGAACCTGATAGGTCTCCACATGGGACAGTGAGTGTTGTGATTTTTGAGTTGAACTCTGCTTTTCTTCACCAGCCCTAAGAATTGGCCATGTCGCCAGTATTTTTATTTATTTTATTAATTTTTGAGATGAGGTCTCCCTATGTTGCCCAGGCTGTCTTAAACTCCTGGGCTCAAGCAGTCCTCCTGCCTCAGCTTCCCATGTAGCTGGGATTACAGGCACAAGCCAAGCTCCACTATTTTTTTTTTTTTTTTTTGAGACGGAGCCTCGCTCTGCCGCCCAGGCTGGAGTGCAGTGGCCGGATCTCAGCTCACTGCAAGCTCCGCCTCCCGGGTTCACGCCATTCTCCGGCCTCAGCCTCCCGAGTAGCTGGGACTACAGGGGCCTGCCACCTCGCCCGGCTAGTTTTCTGTATTTTTTAGTAGAGACGGGGTTTCACCGTGTCAGCCAGGATGGTCTCAATCTCCTGACCTCGTGATCCGCCCGTCTCAGCCTCCCAAAGTGCTGGGATTACAGGCTTGAGCCACCGTGCCCGGCCACCAAGCTCCACTATTTTTAGTGTTTCTCTGAGGCCATAATTCCTCAGCCTGCTCTTTTTGGCCAATCTGGGCCTCCTTTACTGGGGTGCTTCGGTCTTACCTCTGTGTCTAGGGATCCTTTAGCACCCACTCTGCAGCAGAGATTCCTGCCTGGCCCAGGTTTCTTGAGACCCCTTCTGTGGTAGAAAGCTAAGTAGCATTTATTAGTCCCAGCTGCCTCCCTCTGGGAACTAATGGTTAAGCACCAGCCCCAAACTATGTGGTTCAGATGTGTGCATTTGGGGAGCTGGGACACAAAATAAATACTTCTGCTTTCTACCCACACAGAGGAGATAGAAATATGTGCATAAAAGGATGTGGCCCAGGTAGAAACAGAAAGGAGGGAGCCAAATCTGTATAAAAGATGCTAAGCAGCAGTCTGTAGGAACTGGATCTGGAATTAGATGAGGTGTCAGGGTTGGTACTAGGTCAGGAATGGCGTTGGAAGTATACGTGTTGCAGGCGTGGGCGGCAGGAAAAGCTGTCCCAATATTCAGATTGCCAGCTATCCAGAATTGCCTAAAGGTCCTGGGCAGGAACTGGTCCTAACTGCCTCAGAAGCATCAGGAAAAAAAAAGGGAGACAGCTAGGGAGTGTGGCTCACTCCATGGAGGCTGCCCCCACACTTGGCTGTACCCTTTGGCCAGATGCTGGCAGAGACGGTCAAGGGCACAGGCTCTCACAGAGCAGGAATATATGTGAGTAGTATTAGTAATACTAGATAACATTTACTGAGCACATACTATGTGTCAGGCACTGTGCTTAGTACTTTGTGTTTACTCATTTAATTGCCAAGAGCAAAGGAGCATTCAGCGCTAATGAGGAAAACAAATGGAGGCTTCCCTGAATGGCCTGTTTTAGCACTAGTTCCTGGGTCAGTGGAAGTTCTCTGTGTGACCTTGGAGTATCGCTTCACTCCTGTGAGTCCCAGGTTTCCTATCTGAATGCAGGAGCTATCAATCCTGGATCCATCCACCATACCAAATAATTTGTAGCAGAAACAGCTGAATTTTACTTGTATGTAGATATGCATTTATTACTATTATTAAATTACCTTAAATATTAAGGGACTCTTACCAATTTATTTTGAAAATTTAAGCACATGAAAATATTAAAATTTTGAAGAGTAAAAGGAAAATAAATTACCTATAATTACACAGTAATAATACAGTAACTATTAATGTCTTAGTGTAGTCCTCTCTTTTTCTAGATAGATGTTTTTTAATTTGTTGTAATCATAGTCAACATGATTGAATCCTAATTTTTCACTTGACTCAACATCTCTAGGTTGTTGCTCATTTGGGTTGAGGAGCTATTTTAAGAAATCCTATTATGGTTCCTTTTGTATAATTAATTTCTTTTTATTTAAATCTAAATATATTCAAATTATCAGGTTTGTTTAAAACACCATTGCTGTGACATTGTCAATCTCAATTAGCTATACAGGATTATAAAGAGCTAGTCAGGAAAAATTTCCTATTGCTGTAACAGGTTGTTGATGACCTTGTACTTGTATTTTCACCAGAGGGCACAGTGGTTTTAGACAGTAGCCATCTCTATTAAAAGGTGACTCAGGCCTGTCCCACTGAAGACACAGAACTGTTTGGAATCACATGGACTCTCATGCATCTGGCCTCTTTTTGTTTTTATTTCGAGACAGTCTGGCTCTGTTGTCCAGGCTAGAGTGCAGTGGCGCAATCTCGGCTCACTGCAACGTCTGCCTCCCAGGTTCAAGCCATCCTCCCACCTCAGCCTCCTGAATAGCTGGGACTACAGGCATATACCACCATACCCAGATAATTTTTGTATTTTTCTTTTTGGTAGAGCAGGGTTTTGCCATGTTGCCCAGACTGATCTCAAACTCTTGGTCTCAAGCATTCTGCCTGCCTCGGCCTCCCAAATGCTGAGATTACAGGTGTGAGCCACCATGCCTGACTATCATCTGGCCTCTATTCAATGTTTTCGACCAGGAACCTTCTTCTGCCCCCTCTAGGAAGCCTTCCTGACTCCCAGTGCCAGATTAGGTACCCCTCCTGTGTATTCTGCAGTTTCTGATTGGCTTATCATGGCGCCTGTAAATGTTGATGAATTTTGCTTCTCCATAGACCCTGCCCAACATCTCTGACCTGTGTTTGAGAGATGTGCCCCCAGTCCCTACCCTGGCTGACATCGCCTGGATTGCTGCAGATGAAGAGGAGACATACGCCCGGGTCAGGTAGTTGAGGCAGTAGCTGGTCTGCTGAGGAATGGAGAACTTCCCAGAAGAGGTGGCAGGCAGCAAGGAGAGAGGAATGAGAACTGTGGGGGCTCAGAGAGGAGCAGAACCTTACTGTGCTACTCTTATAGGAGTGGGGGAAGGAACTTAGGGAGCACAGTGGCCTGCCATTTCTAACTGACCTACTTGGTTTTCCCTGGTCCAGGAGTGATACGCGCCCCCTGAGGCACACCTGGAAACCCAGCCCTCTGATTGTCATGCAGCGCAATGCCTCCGTTCCCAACCTGCGTGGGTCCGAGGAGAGGCTTCTGGCCCTGAAGAAGCCAGCCCTGCCAGCCCTAAGCCGCACCACTGAGCTGCAGGATGAGCTGAGCCACTTGCGCAGCCAGATTGCAAAGATAGTGGCAGCTGATGCAGGTAGGAGCCCCTGTGCCAGGGCAAGAACATAACAGGCTGTTCCTTTCCCCTGGCTCTTGGGCAGGATAGGGGTAAAGAAAATGGTAGTCCTTGGTTTGGAGGTACTTAGGTTCCAGGCCCTGGAGTTGTCTTGAAACCTGGCTAGCCTATAGTGCCTCTTAGATGGTTTCTACCAGCCATTTTGGGCTGAATGGTTTGGTTAGGAACAAAATCTTCACTTAACCTGTGACCCCAGGCAGAGTCCCTCCCTTAGCCCCAAAACTGACACCCTCTTCCAAGTGTCTTTAAGATCACATCTTACATAAGCCCACAGTAGCTTTTTTTTTTTCTCCCTCAGTCTTGCTCCGTCGCCCAGGCTGGAGTGCAGTGGCACGATCTCGGCTCACTGCAACCTCTGTCTCCCAGGGTGCAAGCGATTCTCCTGCCTCAGCCTCCTGAGTAGCTGGGACTACAGGGATGGGCCACCAGGCCTGGCTTTTTTTTTTTTTTTGAGGCGGAGTCTCGCTCTGTCGCCCAGGCTGGAGTGCAGTGGCACGATCTCGGCTCATGGCAACCTCTGCCCCCCGGGTTCAAGCGATTTTCCTTCCTCAGCCTCCCCAGTAGCTGGGACTACAGGCGCCTGCCACCACGCCCGGCTAATTTTTTTGTATTTTTAGTAGAGACGGGGTTTCACCATGTTAGCCAGGATGGTCTCGATCTCCTGACCTCGTGATCCGCCCGCCTTGGCCTCCCAAAGTGCTGGGATTAGAGGCATGAGCCACCGCGCCGGCCATAATTTTTATATTTTTAGTAGAGACAGAGTTTCACCATGTTGGCCAGGCTGGTTTTGTATTCCTGACCTCAGATGACCTCAGATGACACCCGCCTCAGTCTCTCAAAGTGCTGGGATTATAGGCGTGAGCCACCAAGCCTGGCCAGCTTTCCTTTTTTTGGAGACAGGATCCTGGGTCTTGATCTATAGCCCAGGCTGGAATGCAGTGGCACAATCTTGGCTCACTGCAACCTCTGCCTCCCAGGCTCAAGCGATTCTGATGCCTCAGCCTCCTGAATAGCTGGAATTACAGGTGTGCACCACCATGCCTGGCTAATTTTTGTATTTTTAGTAGAGACGGGGTTTTGCCATATTAGTTAGGCTGGTCTCGAACTCCTGGCCTCAAGTAATCCACCCAGCTCGGCCTTCTGAAGTGCTAAGATTACGGGCATGAGCCACCATGCCCGCTGGCTTTCCTTTTCTTTTTGTTTTTGAAACAGTCTTACTCTGTCACCCAGGTTGGAGTGCGTTGGCATAGTCTTGGCTCACTGCAACCTCCACCTCCCGGGTTCAAGCAATTCTTGTGCCTCTACCTCCTGAGTAGCTGGGATTATAGGCGCACACTACCATGCTCAGCTAATTTTTTGTATTTTTAGTAGAGACAGGGTTTCGCCATTGCCCAGGCTGGTCTCAAACTCCTGAGCTCAAGCAGTCTGCCTGCCTCAGCCTCCCAAAACGCTAGGATTATAGCCATGAGCTACCGCACCCTGCTTTCCTTTTCAATACAAGTAAACATATCCCCCACCACCGCTGAGATTTACCCTTTTTAAGCACCTATCTTCCCTCGCCTTGTCGTTTCTACCAGGGATCACAAGTGGCTTTACCACTTCAGTTCTCATACTGCTAGTGACATTGTCCCTATGCCCCACCCTTCAAAGTGGGGAGTTGCATGACATTATGTTACGTTTTCTTATCTCAAATTAGTGGACTTTTTTGGTGGAAGGAGAATTTCATAAAGTTGGAGATTTTGGCCTTAAAAATACAGTGGCTGGGCACTGTGACTCACGCCTGTAATCCCAACACTTTGGAAGGCTGAGGTGGGTGGATCACCTGAGGTCAGGAGTTTGAGACCAGCCTGGCCAACATGGTGAAACCCTGTCTCTACAAAAAATACAAAAATTAGCCAGGCGTGGCAGTGTGTGCCTGTAATCCCAGCTACTTGGGAGGCTGAGGCACAAGATTCACTTGAACCTGGGAGGCGGAGGCAGAGGCAGAGGCAGAGGTGGAGCTTGCAGTGAGCTAAAGTTGCACCACTGCACTCCAGCATGGGCAACAGAGTGAGACTTTGTCTCAAAAAAAAAAAAAAAAAAAAAAAAAAGGTCCATTATGCAAACAAGCCTTGTAACCCACCCCTCCAGCTTTCTGTCTACAGTTAAGGCAGAACCACTGGAAATGGATGGGAAGCCTGCCTTGACCAGAGGCATGGACAACCAACAGGTGGATCTCTCCCAAGATGCTCAGGGCTTATCTTCGTATTCCTCCCATCCTCATTTTTTCACTCTGCATTGACTCAGAGTCATAGCTCCTAAATTTATCAGTTGGTAGGACACATGAAAATCATGGTATTCTTTGAAATCTTCATGTATTTAATTTCTTCACATGGAAGTTTTATGAAGAATTGCACTGAAAGTCCATTTATATTTCTTGGCTACTTTTTTGTCATCCAAGAGACAAACTGAAGTAACACGTTTTTTAGAAACATAGTTTTTAGTGTATTTAGTGTTTTCAAAGTATTTTTAGAAATGTAGAAATTAAGGAAATTCTCTCCACTGAAATTTGGGAAGGTTGGGAGGTCTGTCACCATTCTCGTTTTGCTCGGAACACGTCTTTTAGTTCACAGATAGCAAGATTCAAAGGAGCATAGTCAAAAGCACTAGCCTAGTTAGAGAAAAGGACAAATTCAGGCCTTAGCTGTCACTGCTGCTTTGGCCTATGACAAGGCTATCACTCCACAGCCTATTGTGAAATGGCAGTTTTAAATGCCAAGGCCTTTATGGGCTGGGTTTTCCTGCCCTCCTGGAACACTGGAAAAGCCCAGTGCTTCTACAGCTTTCTGAGCCCCTGAGTGAGAAGCATAGTGGAATGACCCTCCAGTGGCTACAGATACCATCCTGGCTCTCCCAGACTGTCATGGTGTCAGCCCAGGAAATGGATGTTCAGTAGGCAGGGCTGTGGGGAGAAGATATTCCTACTGTGTTCTAGCCCCAATGTCCATCCATGCCTATTGTTTTCTCTTTCAGCTTCGGCTTCATTAACGCCAGATTTCTTATCTCCAGGAAGTTCAAATGTCTCTTCTCCCTTACCTTGTTTTGGATCCTCATTCCACTCTACAACTTCCTTTGTCATTAGTGACATCACCGAGGAGACAGAGGTGGAGGTCCCTGAGCTTCCATCAGTCCCCCTGCTTTGTTCTGCCAGCCCTGAATGTTGCAAACCAGAACACAAAGCTACCTGCAGTTCGTCTGAAGAGGATGACTGCATCTCTTTGTCCAAGGCCAGCAGCTTTGCAGATATGATGGGTATCCTGAAGGACTTTCACCGAATGAAACAGAGCCAAGATCTGTAAGTATCTGATGAGGAGCTCTAGTATCTGTTTACTCTGAGTTGCCCATGGCCAATGATCTAATGCAACATAGTAAGTTCTTAGTAGTACCATATGTTATATTATATATAAAGCTTGCTGACTACTGCTTGCCAGTGCCTGGGGCCCCAATTTGAGGAAAGAGCAACACTTTACATTTATTGGGTTAGGTCACCCCAACCAAATATGAGGCTAGTAGGGACTTTTTATAAGGTAGCTCATCTAATCCAACTTCTGTCCTCAGGTGGCTTTATCACTTCATTTCTCATACTGCTAGTGACAGTGTCTTCATGCCCCACCCTTCAAAGTGAGGGGTTGCATGACATTATGTTTTGTTACGTTTTCTTATCTCAAATTGGTAGGCTTTTTTGGTGGGAGGAGAATTTCATAAAGTTGGAGATTTCTACTTTAAAATACAGTGGTCCATTGTGCAAACCAACCCTGCATATTCAGTGATTTGAAAACAAGGCTTTTGAGACTCGCCAGTAGTTCCGAAACCTAGCTGCCCATCAGAATTGCTCGGATTTGTTAAAAATACACCTTTAACTTAATAAAGTAGAACCCCAAGGAGTGGAGCTCTAGGTTTTTCCGATGGAGTATGAGGGACTTTGGGGAATACTTACCTTGAAAAACTTTATCTGGCAAAGAAGCCTCAGGAAGTCACCCCATTGCATAGTGTTTCTCCAGTTGTGGGTTGTGATTTCAACAGCTGCACAGGACTCACCAGAGGAGCTTGGTTTGAATGTAGGTTCCTGGGCATTGGAGAGCCAGACCTTGATGGCCAGCACCCAGCTTGTGCAGCTCTGTTTGTTAATGCAGATGAAAAACTGTTTTGGGGACAGGGAAGTGAGGTCTCCTGAGTTGATGTTAAGTTCCTGTTAAAGGGAAAGTTACTTGCCCTGGATCCCTTTTTGTCTCCTGGGATCCATTTCCCTCTGAAAAGTAGACCAGGCTAAGTGACTCCCTCATTGCTTCCTGGCAGTTGACCCGTTTAGGGAAGTCACTCTTAACCTTCCTTCACTGGCCCTAGTCAGGTTGGTCATACTCACCCATATCTCTTTGGTCTTCCATGTTCCCAAATTCAGTTGCTGCTGCTTTTGGTCTTCTCTGAGCTGTTTTCTTCTGAACACAATGTTTTTTAGGTTGACTCTCAAACTTTCTCTTACTTGCCTTTTGGACCAAATTAGATTCAAGACCCTTATTGCCAGCCCCCTCCTCCCACTTGTGTCTTCGGATCAGAAGAAGCTGGGTCAGTGAGTAAGACTGGGAAAGTACCCCAGTCAGCAAAGGTTCAGATATGTCACCAACCAAACGCAGTCCCTCTTGTTGCTTTGAAGGTTGAAAAATCAGTCTTGGCTCTTATATTTAGCTTACTCCCCAGTAAAACACCTTCTTGAGGATGAATGTATATAAGTTCACTAGGATTTCAAGCAACTATTTTCGGGGTATCTAGGACCCTCTTATATGATGTATCAGATAATTTGGGCCTACTTCAGTCTGGAGTTGGTTTTGTTCCCATGCGTTTCTTGTGTGAATGTTTTGCTCTAATTCTGGCTCTCGTAAAAAATCATCTACCCTGAAGGGGAGACCGGGAAGTAGGAAATCCCAAGCACACCTTTTCCCTAGAACTATTAAGGGTTAGAATAGCCAAGAGTCATCAGTCATTTCCCCTGCTGACCCTCTGGGGAAATGCTACTAAGAAAACATAGGGCCAGAAGGCAGAAGCAGAAGCTTAGCCACCAGAGGGCAACTCTAACCGATTGATGGTCCTTTACTTTGCCCACACTTCATAGCTATTTCAGGAAATAGTAAAGCATTCTAGTTAAGAGATCTGGAACCAGCTAGTTTGGTTTTGAACTCTGGATTCACCACTTACTTGCTGAGTGACTAGTGACCTTGGGCAACTTGTATAACCTTTCTGTGCTTCAATTTCCTTATCTGTGAAAGGGAATTGTAATAGCACCTACCTAGTAAGATTGTTGTGAGGATGCCATGAGATAATGTATTCAAATATATACAACACTACCCAGGAAAGAGTAAGTACTCAAGCTGTTATTGTGTCTTTAGGAACCGGAGTTCATTGAAGGAGGAGGACCCTGCTGTGCTTATCTCTGAGGTCTTACGAAGGAAGTTTGCTCTAAAGGAAGAAGATATCAGTAGAAAAGGAAACTGACAACCCTCAGCTCTGCAAACTCAGTCTCATGCTCCTGGAATACCTTCAATAGCTGCCTTCCTCACCACAGATGTTTCTGCCTCTAAAGGAGAAATCTTCTGCAACAGTCTTGCTAACAAGCTAGAGCTTGGACTGAAAGAGAAGAGCTGGATTATATGTTTCCCAGACTTCAAACCCTGGCAGAAGCTAAGGCTTGTGATTTGACCTGAGACATTTGTTTCAGGTAATCGTATAGAATGAAGTATCTCAGTTTAAAGGGTAAGAGAGAAGTTGTTTCTGGTTTTTCCTTGCCCCTGTGTGAAAACAGGTCCGAAATGACTGACTGACTTCACTGCATTAGACCCTATAACTGGTCTCACAAGACACTTTGTGCCCAGCTGTCACTCACTCTCAGCAGCTTCCTTGCAGCAGAGCAGGGCTGAGGGGAAGGGGCTATAAATGTTTGTATACATGTTCACAGGGCATGGAAAATCTTATGCTGCTCCATCATAAACCTACACCAATGCCCAGCAATCACCCTCCTCACTTCCTTGTCTAGATGTAGAGGTCAGGCTGCTGAACCAGCCAACACATGGGCTACTGCTGGGAAGTCTGGGCTGTTTTTTTTCTTAAACACATTTTATATTACTGAACAACCAAATCTACCCTCCACGGCCCTGAGGCCTTATCAGTTCCACTGATTAAAAACTTTCTCTTTCACGGACCTTAAGCCCGGTAGGAAAGAGAAAGGAGGAGGGGGGAAGAGCATACCATCTTTCTTCCAGGCCCTTGACTGCTCCTTTGGGTTGGGCCAAGGTTTGTACCTACCACACCATGCATGACTCAGATGCCCTCAGGTCCCTTTCTCTATGGTATGTATACTGTGTGTGTTTGGGTTGAAGCACTACCTGACATTAAAGGAAGGACTTGGAGAGAGAATGCATTTGCTGTGTCCATCTCTTGAGTTGTGATTACCCAGTATCCTTCAGGGGATAGGATTATTGTTCATTTTAAAGTGTATGAACTTAAACAGGCTACTGGCTTCTCCTCTTTCCTTATAAGGTCCTGCCCTTCTAGGGGTTTTCTTCCCCCTTTCTGTAGAGATTTTGCCCTATACTCTTTTTCTTTTTTTAGAAACAGTATCTAGCTCTGTAATGCCCAGGCCAGAGTGCAGTGGTGGGATCATTAGCTAACTGCAGCCTCGAAACTCCTGGGCTCAAGCGAGCTTCCCACCTTAACCTCCTGAGTAGCTGGGACTACAGGTATGCACCACCACACCCAGGGAATGTTTTAATTTTTGTGTAGAGATGGGGTCTTGTATGTTGCCCAGGCTGGTCTTGAACTCCTGGTCTCAAGCAAACCTCCCACCTCAGCCTCCCAGAGCATTGAGATTACAGACATGAGCCACTGCACTAAGCCCCATACATTCTTAAAAAAGCAGGTCTTCCAGGAAAATGACCGGAGAGATGACATAGAACACAAAAGTAGAATTTAACATTTAAATTAGGCCAGGCACAGTGGCTCACACCTCTAATCACAGCACTTTGGGAGTTCAAGATCAGCCTGGGCAACAAAGCAAGACCTCATCTCTACAAAATATTTTAAATATTAGCTGGGCATGGTGGCATGTGCCTGTAGTCTCAGCTACTCAGGAGGCTGAGGTGGGAAAATCACTTGTGCCCAGGAGGTCCAGGCTGCAGTGAACTGTGTTCATGCCACTGCACTCCAGCCTGGGCAACAGAGCGAGACCATGTCTCAAAAAACTAAAATTTAAGTTAAAGAAAAAAAGCAGTTCTATCTTATAACCTGCAAGTTTGTCCCCTAGAGATTGTTTAAGCCTCTTAGGTACCATATCAACAACAAAGGATAATGCCTTGGGTAGAAGACAGGTCAAACTAGACTCTGGCTCACATCAGACTCAGGGCAATGACAACATACACTATTACAGTTGCATTTTCAAAAATAAAATTGATAATCGTTTAATTACCAGTTATCACAAGAGCCACTTTGTAAACATTTATTTGGATTCATAGTTTTACAAAGGGGATTCCCTCCTATCTTGTGGGAAAAGGGTAACACAGTCACATCCAGATTGTTATATAGCTCAGGCTTTTTAAGGGGTATATTTAAACATAGAGTATATAACTATAAAGTGCTGTACAGTTACCACAAAAATAAAATAAGAAACTAGCACCATTCTACCTCTCTTCTGCGCACACCTGGGTTGTGGGGAGATGTGCTAATCACTCAAAATAAGGGTCAAGAGTAATCATCCCAAGCTTAAGTCGAAGTGGGTTAAGATCAGCCAGAGATTAAAAGCTCACACATCTGGCCCGGCACGGTGGTTTACACCTGTAATCCCAGCACTTTGGGAGGCCAAGGCGGGCAGATCACGAGGTCAGGAGATGGAGACCATCCTGGCTAACACGGTGAAACCTCGTCTCTACTAAAAATAGCAAAAAAAAAAAATTAGCTGGGCTTGGTGGCATGCGCCTGTAGTCCCACTACTCGGGAGGCTGAGGCAGGAGAATCACTTGAATCCAGGAGGCAGAGGTTGCAGTGAGCTGAGATCGCACCACTGCACTTCAGCCTGGCAACAGAGTGAGACTCCATCTGAGGAAAAAAAAAGAGAAAAGAAAAAAAAAAAAACCCACACATCCATAAGCAAGGTCCCAGTCAGACATCTGGAAGGCTCTGTGCAGGCTAAGTAAAAGGCGCTTTCGTGGAGAGATAAATACCCACCGTGCTGCCTCAGTGTTCATCATAGACTTGTTCAGGGAATTTATCAGCCACCATCTTCCTGAGGGAAAGCCATAAGGGCAAACCCAGTGTCTTAACAATGGTACTGCCCTTTATTTACATAGGGAAGATGCTCAGTAATGATAACTTCATCCCATGCCACCTTCCCACCTAAACAAACTCACTCGCCTCTCCGCCCACAACTATATTTTCCTACATCTCTGTCATTTCAAGGTACTTTTAGGAACAAAGCTTCAAAACATTTAGAATTGGTGCCTGATAACTTGATTACCTTCAGAGTCCTGGGTAAAGAGCAAATCAGGCTTCAGATTTTGAGTTGGCCCATCCTCCTGGCACTGAGCCCAAGAACTGTCAGGAAACGGCCCTAAGTCCCAATTCCAGTTATTCGTTACATCTTGAAAAGGAGCTCTAGTGTTGTGGGCAATGACCCGCTGACCTTGAGAATCTTCAGTGAAAAGCTGACTCCAGGAGTCCTTGTCATTGTTTTCATTGTCCCAGGAAAACACAGAAACCGGACAAGAGCTTTGTTTCACTGATTCTACGTTTTCTCCATTCCAGGATTCCCTGTATGTTTGAAGGAGGACAGGGGCCTGCCTGTTTTCTTTGGCAGACACCTTTCTTTCCAATTTAGTCTTGCCTAAAGGCTGACAGCATTTGTCCCCAGGTAGTTTGGTGTGTTTCTTCATACTCTGACAGTTCTTCTTAGACCCATGAAGCCATTCCCATTTCCTGGCAGAATCCTCTTTTTCTTCCTTTTGGTCTAGCAAACAAGAACTTTCCAAGTCCTCGGTGAAGGAAAAAGCCAATGGGGTATTACTCTCTCCAGCACAGTCTAGAGTATCAGGCTGGAGCAAAGATAGCTCAGTTCTGTGGTGGCCAGAAGTCTGGAGGGACTGAGGAGAGAGTCCAGCTTCCTGGATGTCTGCAGTGGTTGAAGTGGCTAAAGGGGATACCATGCAATCATGTGCTAAGCCTGGGATCAAATGGTCTAGCTGGGTCACATTTTTCTTGGACTCTTTGTTGAGCTGACTTTCTGTATGAGATGAAACACTCTTCTGGTCACTACCATTTGTCTTTCCTAATAAAACAGGAATGAACAAATATTATTCTGCAGAAAAACTGCCCTAAGCAGGATTCAGTTGGCTTTTTCTGAAATCAGTATCAGCTACTATTACTACCTAGTGCAGGAGTCTTAGCCTCTTCACATAATTTTGTAGCCAATCTTCCTGTTTTCAATCTTGCCAGTCTCTCATGAATGAACTCTAAAACATCATATCTTATATTCCCTACTCAAATACATGGATACTTCCCATCACCTACCTAATAATGTCAAATATCACATACAATCAGACCACAGCCTACTTTACCAGCTGAGTTTTCATTTGTAGGTTTGTTTAACATAGGGCACATCAGTTTTGCTTTTGTTTTTTATTTAATGTGGTTTTTACTAAATGATGATCCTCTGGCCAAATATACATTCCTGGACATTATCCTTAAAGAAACATGCTAAACACATACAAGTTTTGTAAGGTCTTAAAGATGAGAAACCTTCTGGTGACAGTGTGAAAAACGTGGGTCCTCCACTCCCCAGGCATTTCATTGGAAAGGGAGTAAAGACACAATTAGGATGCTAAGTCAGTCAGTACGTAGAATAGTGAAACAACTACTAGTGTCCAGCCTGTTAATTTTATCAGGCATAGAGTGGATTCTCTTCTGCCTTAAGATAAGGATGGAGGACATGGAATTCCCAACTTGGCTCAAATTACACCAAGATCTAATTATAAAAACAAAGCAGAATAACTCCAATAAGAATTATACTGCAGAAACTAGGTTTTGTGAGAATTCTCAACTTTTCCTTAGAATTCAATATAGATTATAAAATACACCAGAATTTATAAGTGGAAGAAGTTTTTTTGTTAATTTTTTTTTTTTTTAAATTTAAATCTGCCCTTACATAAAAGAGTATAAGTTTTTGTTTGGAGGAGGGAGAGGGCATTTTGAAGGTTTAGGCAAAGCAATCCTGAGAATCACTCCCAGCATTAGAGCACTCTTCCCAACACCCTCCAAGTGGCAGGAACCCTGCTGCTTAAGGCCCAGCCTGCTGAGTCAGCTGCTCCCCTGAACAGAGACCTGGAAGCAAAGAACTGCCAAAGGATGAGACATAAACCAACTTTATGTGAGGCTTTCTAAGAACAAGCATCTTTGAACCTTGCACTAATTTGAGAAACTTCACACAAAAATATCAATTACCAATTAACCTTAGACAGAGTACCCATTGTGGCCAACCCAAGATATATACCTCCTAACTAATGGCAGGGCAACTCCCCAGTGCACCTCCAACTCCCAAGTGCACCTCCAACGCCCAAGTACACCTTTCCTGACTGCTCTGTCAGCAAATACAAATATTTAAGTTGAGCAAAACAGAACCAGAAAAGTATGTTTGTAAAAGCACACATATATTGCTTTTCAAAAGGCAACGATTTTTTATGTTTTATAACCTCTTCTAATAGGCTAAGTTTAACATAATGCACTGGTTTCACCATTTCTCATAAATGTTCTAACATGGACAAATGAACACACTCCTTTTTTGCTCTGGATAATGAAATATTCCCACATGGGCCACCATACCTGGCTGCAAGGTGAAGAAGGAAGCAATGCTTCTCTGGTGAATGCCTGTAGATGGAGCTCTTCTTTGAGTAAAATAAATACTAGCCTTTCTTTCTCCAGGAAGGAGTGTTAGCATTTTGGTGCCTGGTTTGATTAAATGTGTCTGAGAAAGGAGAGAAAAAAGAATAATGAGCCTATTAATATTAAAAGACAGACAGTAGAGATTCAGTACACACCAGTGACCCTCTGAGAACCACACTAGACCCTCTGTACTCCACTTACAGCCTATTCTCAAGGTAGTTGGTGCTGGACATCATCTTCCATTTCCAGCCATCCTAACGGTGTTTTTCTCAGGAATCACATATTCCAATGATAGCCCAATCTTTCTGCTTCCCCATGGAAATCAGTCATGCTGACTAAACAAACAGGATTTGTTAACAGGATGGCAGAGATTATGCTCTTTTATATTTAAGGATAATTAATGATTCTATATCAGCAGCAGTTGATGCATTTTCAGTAGTTTTTAAGTAGTCACATAGTGGTGGTGAAGAGCATGGCTCAAGAATCAGTCCTAGT